TCAGACTATTTTTTTGTTGTTGTTATTCAGATGAAAAGTCCACTAATCATTTGCATATATAAGGTTTTCTTTAGAACAGCAAAGTTGAACAAGTTTTTAAGTTCTTTTAACTAAAAATTTTCTTTTTTATTAATTCTTCAAAAAATATTACTGTAGTTTGCCGCAGAAAACTGCGAAAAAGCTTTTATTTCACTAAAATTAGTTGTTCAAAGATGAAGAATATTTATGATTTAAAAATGTATATTTTTTCTCTAGAAAATTCTGCAGTCATTTTAGAATCATTAAGTATTTTTTTATTTTTGCCAATTTTCTCTTGAATTTTTTAAAACTGATTTTTTAAAATTATTCAAGATAATATGACAAATTATTGAGTAGCAAAAAAACCAATTTTAGATAATGTAATTTTTATGCAATGAAACAGAAAAACTGATAATCTTAAAAACTGGTGAAATTTTGTGAAATATTGTTTTTAAAATAAACAATTAATAAAAGTTCTCTTTTTTTTTAATAGATAATTAATGGTTTTATAGTGACAAAAAGAAATACAGATTCCTGTACTAAAAAGATAAAACTGAATTAAGAGGTAAACGTTCATTAAGTATGATAAATCTTCTAGAAACAGTTTTCCAAAAAAATAAATATTTTATATATTGTCTTAATTAATTTATTGAATTGGTCTAAGATTGTGAATAGGTAACTAACTGAAAATGCTGCTGTAACAGTATAGCACTTTTTCTCATTTCTAAGCTTTACAGTATTTTTTTATTTTGACAACAAATGCTTTTGAGACGGGTAATTTATTAGTTCTAAATAATGATAAATATTGAAAAACACAGTGATTAGGAATACTGTAAACTTCAGTCATTTCGCTACTTTAGGCATAACAGATTGAAAAAATGAATACAATTTTTTTCGTTTATTTTTAGCAACATTTAATTAAGTTTTAAGTTAACTAATATTGAAAAAAATAGCCGTTTTATCAGTTGTCTTAATTTATAAGAGATTTACAAAAGAGAAAGAAAAAAATTATTGATTTTATTTTCACTTAATTTTTTCCGCAAACCTAAGATTTCAAAAAGAAAATAAATAAGTAAATAAAATAAAATAAAATAAAAAATAAAATAAAACCAATCATTTATTTTAATGAATTATTTATTATAAATTACTTCACTTTATTTTTTTTTTTATAGTAAAGAACTGGAACTGAACTAAATGACGGTCTAAGCAGACATTCAAATTTTTTGATAAAACAATTGATCAAATTTATAGAAATATTTGATTGAAAAGGAAAGAAAAAACTGCTTTACTTCTCCGAATACAGTTTGGTGTTTCATGCTGACTATAGTCTTCCAACACTGATGTGTTCAGATAAATTCTCTGAAAACTGTTTTCAGGTTTATCTTCATTAAACGAATAGAAGTCACACTTGTCCATATGGTACGTGAGCCTTTCATATTTGCCTTCTTGAAACCAAAAATTGTTTCCACATTGATCAGCTATAAATTCCTAGTATTAATAGTTTAGTGTAAATGACACAGGCCCTATTTGTTAAGGTAATAAAAGGAAAAAAAGTGGTTACTTTTTTTATACTTCTTTTTAACTAATATAACCATTGTTGATCCAATCAAAAGTGTATCTTTTGTAAAATCCCACGGTAAAATTTTACTGCTGCCCGGTTCCTTGTAACCAACATATTCTGCTGTTAACGTTTCTGTTGAACAGATTCCAATTACCTATAAACTACCACAGTGATAAAGATGCCACACAGATGTCGGGTGGTGATGAGCAGTCCGTAGTGAATTTTGACATACATTGGTTCAAAAATATTCTTGATTTATTGTTTATTTCAAACTGTTTTATTATGCACAAAAAAAAGAAAATTTTTTTTTCACATTTCCTCTTCTAATTACAAATAGTAATAAACAACAAAAAAGTGTATCATTAGACTATTGTGCTTCACATTTATGAAAAAATAAGTGAAATCGAGTGATAAAACATTTTTTTCCTTTGTTCTACTGTGAAGATTACGGTGATCAAATAGTATATATTTATCTGAAAATGTCATTTTTTAAAAGCATATTTTAAGCTTGACAAAAATGGGAAAAGAGAACAAATCTATTAACTGTCAGTAACGTTCTGTAGGTTCGTTCTTCAGCACTTGGAGACCATCGTATCTCCAAAATATTCTCTGACGGTCGTAGTGGTACATTAAGAATTTGACTTTTTTTATCATGTAAAAATGATTGACCGTTAGTAAGAATTTCATATTCTTCACCTGCAAAATTACAGTTTACAGGAAAGAAAAAAGAGTAAATGCATAGACATATTCAATTTGCTTAACCACATTGATCTGTTCAGTTAATGCAAATAGACAGTAAAAAAAATCATATTTTAGAGGCTGATGAAGAAAAAAAGAGTTAAAAAGGTCAAAGTTTATAACTGCTTTTTTTTTTTGCGAAGATAAACAAAAATTGAAAGTAAAAGACTTTGTAAGAAAAAGAGGTATAGAAGAGAATTCAAACAATGAATTTAGGCTTTAAAGACAAAAAATACAAAATAAGCCTTTTTTTCTGTCGTTTTAAGGTTTTTATACAGTTTTTTACTTATTAAGTGTATTGGCTTTTATTACTACAACATACTACAATTTACTGTAAACAAAAAAAAAAGCACTGTTTTTAAAACAAAATCTTACTTCACCAACTTTATTACTCAAAAAGAAAGTAGAAAATAAAAAATAAACACAAAGAAATACAGCGAAACAGTTTCGTACGGTAGCATAATAGAGGAAGAAATTTTGACGGTGAAAAAGGTTAAAAAACATAGCCTTTTTTTGCATCATAAAAAAAACC